CCGACGGAATAGTCTTCAAGCGTTGAAACAGCAACTTCTGGTGCGCGGAGAAGTGGTGGACTGAAGGGCGTCACGATGTATAAGTCAGTTTCGAGGCGAGGGTGATATGTCGGGAAAAGAAAAAAATCATGAGCCAGGAATGATTTCAATTGCACCGAGGCATCGAAGATAAGGCACGGCCTCCAAGGTATTATACCCTTTCGTCTGACGGACATGAGCCTACGCTAGAGTTCAACAGCAGGTAGGTACCTGCAAGCAAACCCCCCATATCACTGGTCGAGGAGACCAGAGAGTGTGAGGAGAAGGGGAGCGAACCACAAAGTGCTAACAAAACATCATGGGAGAGGGGTCTAACACAGACTACTGAATACCAGAAAACAGGAACCAGAAGAAGAAGAAGTACAGGGTACAGAGCGCAGTAAAAAAAAAAATGAAAAAGGGAGTTACGGATTTCGCAAGCCAGGAAACCAACAACGAAAAGCGAAAGAGCCAAGTTCGTTGTCCAGGGGGGGGGAAGCGGGCTGCAAAGCTGAGATGCGAAAAACGCCTTGTCAAGCGAAGCGCCGCCAGCACAACAACACCAACAGGTCGGCGCCGCACGTTTGAGGGTCGCCTCACATGTTGGCCATGGCCTACGAGACCCCTGTCACTGTGAGGTTGACAGCGCACACCCAACCCGTGACCCGTTCGGGGGGGGGGGGGGATGAGAACGGGGAAGAAAGACTCATAGACGAACTGACTGACAGATGTAGAATGACAAGTGAGCGTCAGCGACACAACCACTCTTGCATGCGCGCCACGTCGTCTTTGCCGCCTGCCCCAGACTGAATAGGCGTTAGATCCAACACTCTGCTTGGCTACGCCCGCCCCCCCCCCTCTTGTGTATGAGTTGCGCACCCTGGCAGAGGGCATAATATGATTCGCCCTCTAGCCCTCCATTATCATTGTCTTCGTTCTATCATATATAGATTCAGTGACTTTCTTCCCTTCAGTTTACCTTCGTGCTGCTTCCTTCCTTCACGTCCAGGGACCGACCCATTGCCGCCAAAAAGAAATGCCACGGTTGCTACATGCTGCTTTGAGCTGTTCCGGCACGGTCGCCTCCGCACTGCCGCTACGGAGGCGAGTGCGGAGGCAAGGCTCGACGGAGGCCCATGGGGCGCCTCGAAGCGCCTCGTCAACAGACCCAGGGTCGGCGCTTGCCGGGTTCTTCATTCAGGCTGACAATGCAGTCGAACAAAAGATGCCTAAAAGGCCAGTCAATGCATGACCTGATTGTTGAGCCGGACCATCTCGTGACCTCAGCAAAAATGTCCTCTCCGGCGCCATCAATACTGGTGGCGGCTGCTTCAAATCTCGGGGACAAACAAGAAACATGTGTGATTGTAATGATTGTAAGCAAATGCAATAATGGGGGCCTTGAACCAACCCCCTGGCACCCGTCATGTTGGGTGCGTCTACGAACAAATGATGCCGCGGAGGATCGGGATGCTCGCATATCTCCTCGATCGCTGTCCGCCCTAGCCCTGTGCCTTGCGAAAATCCCCATATTCGTACAAATGCCGTGTAAAACCTTTACCCAATGACGCAAGACGCCGTGCTTTCTGTGATCTCTCTTTCTGTGTCGCACACATGATTTTTTTCCGGTTCCGTTTTATCTCTCGTCATCTCCCACCAAGCCTCTTCATCCCCATGGTCGAAGCCCCCCCCCCTTCCGGGCCGCTTACGGGTCGACGGCGAGAGGAGAAGACGTGCCGAGGTACGTCTTGACGTTGGCCCAGCTCGGGCTCATCAGTTGCTCCTCGGTCAGGTAGTACTCGCTCTTCTCGGCGAGCATCTGCTTGTGGAACATTTCCAGGTACATGCCCGGAATCTGCTGCCCAATGGCGATCTTGATGAGGTCCTGCTTGCCGGCCCACAGGTGCTTGATAAAGGTGCCGATGCACTCGGAGCGATCCTCGGGGAAGCCGTTGGCCTCGGCGCAAGGCAGCTCCTTGACCTCGTTGGCGTAGTCGTATCGAATGAAGTTGCCGAACCCTCCCTGGTCCGATGGCGTCCCCAGCCGGCGTGGCGGTACTCGGTGCACTCGGGGGTGCTTGCCGCCGTCGTCAGCGCATTCCGCCCAGTCGTCCATCATCTGGAAGGTGATCGGG